TTCAAGATAACTCGCAACAACACGTTCCAAGTAATACAGGACCTATTGAAAGAAGGAAATATTATGGAGAACAACGGAAAAGGAATCAAATAAAAACTAGCCTTAACGCGTCAGAAGGTTCTGTGCCTCAAAACGCATCATTATAAGGAATAGAGTTCTGTCGAAACTCCGAACAAGAATCAAGAAAGGAAGAACAGGAACACAGCAATTAATAACAGCCAAACAGGCACAGCAAAAGTCAAGGCACAAGCTGAATACACAGAAGCAAACAAGCAAGTGAAGAGGGTCATTAGAGCCGACAAGCCGAAATACATGAAAGAGCTAGCAAAGACAGCGGAATGAGTTGTAAGGGAAGGAAATATGAAACACCTATGTAACAAATGAAGAAAATGGAGTGGAAAAAAGGCAAACCGGAGTGAACGGTCAAATAGAGATTGTCAACATCATACGGAATTCTTATGATTGATCCAGAATACATGATTAAAAAACACATTTATTTGATGTTATTAAGTAATAAGTTGTTTCAAATTCTTCCAAAAATTTCATTTCAGACATTCAATATGAAAACTTCAAGGAACTCTTAAAAAGTCCAGATCCACTCAACACACTAGACATCGAAGCAGCACATACAGATCTTCCTACAGATGTCACTTTACTAACAACGGAAGAAATTCCGACGGCCATCGAACTAAGCAAGAGTGAAAAAGCAATAGGACTGGACAAAATGGATGATTGTTGAGCAATCGGCTGAATGGAACTTGTCACCATACATAAAGTTTCTTGACTATGGGGTGTTTGACAGTATGAATAGAAGTACCTTATGGAACCTGTTTCAACACTAACGTGTACATGACAAGACCGCCAATATCATCCGGAGTTCATAGGATGGACTACACTGCAAAGTGGTTCATGAAGAACGCTCCAAAGTGTAAAGTAGTGGACGTTTCAGACTACAAATACAACTGAGGTGACTTTTCTCTAAAATTATCCTGAGTTCAAAGAGATCTAAGTGTTAGTACTCTATGATCTGAGTTCCTACGCTAACTGCGACAAAAATGCCATCCGAGCAAACCATACATTGGTAACATTGAGGCGCACTTTCGGCCAGTTCGATGGAATAGCCTTCCATATAAACTTCAACAGTATTTTCGACACTCTTTAAGCATGGAAATATATTGTTTCCTCCCTCACTTTAGAAGAATAGGAATACATAAGAACGTACCCACGAAAGCCAAAAAACCAGTTCGGGGACTCAAATCCAAGTTTTCTAAAGAGTGTCTTCAATCACTCATTAGGGTACAGGCGTCTCAGAGATGATCTAATGACTTCCAGCATTCTTGACACTTCTGAACACCCCCTTAACCACGTACCTAAGCTTAGTCACAATGCAAATCCAAGGGGTAACATCCAGAAACTGGAGACTCAACACAGCAGAACGGACTGCAGACACACCTTGTACTCCATAAGAGTATTATTATTATTATTCGCGAACATCTTATGGGTACATAAGTGTTGTGAATAAACCATTTCGGGTTTCTTCAAAAATCCAATAATACACAAGTTTCAATAATGTTAGCATTGTATTCGCCATATTTGAAAAGGATATTAATAACAATAGAATTATAATAACAAATCAGGTTCTGTGTTATTGAGAAGGATATTGAGTTGAGTTTAAAGAAGGAAATGCAGTGGTCAAATGTTCAAAATCGCTACCGGCTGAGCTAGTCCGAGCGAATTCCCAGAGGTCGTTTAAGAGAAAACTTGGCATATTCTTAATGATTAAGGACAGAATATGACCAACTTACCGACTTTTTTCTTTTTCCTGTTTTGTCGATAGTATGCTTAGGTTCCTACTTGAAAGCATCGGTGATCCACTGTTACTAAGTACGGAAGCCCATTAAGCGTAGGCTTCTTCCATTCCACGCCGAACCATTTAAACTCCATTATGGCTGTTATCTTTGTTCTCCATATATCCGGATATGATATGAGCTAATCGGGTATTATGTCACAGGCTCGAAACATGAATGATGAAACGACGTGGTCGGTAATCACTAGTAGCGGAGGGATTATTTATATTGCCAATATCCTCCGCTTAGTGACTGATTACTGAGTCCAACAAACAAGATCTTTGATTTGACCCGAAACGTGTGAATCTGGATACATATTGTGCTTAGGCATACTCCATTACAGTCATCAGGAGTCTATCATTTAAATGGTTCCCAGGTTCTTAGGTGGTCATCTCTGTTTAACTAATATTAGATGTATTCAGATTCCCCAATATCCGGCATCTGTTATATTTACTCCATAGCTGAATGTGCTCCAAAGCTATAAGGAGTGGTTCTAATCCTTCCATTAAAACTCCCAGTCCATAAAGTGTTTCCCTAGACTATGAGCATTTGTCTATAAAACTTCTAAAGATAATGTCTTACTTATGAAGATCTTGGCAGCATTCTGTTTTAAGACTTGACTACTCGATGACCTGCTAAGTGAAAGCCATCTTCACCAAGTTTCAAGTTCATCTAGTGCCGTGTTCCTTTTTATCCTAAGAATCAAATCAGTAGGAGATTCAATCAAGACAGAGAAGTAAACAATGATAAGTTAAAAGTCAACAATAATCAAGAACGATCGAGGTCTAAAAGAAAAACCGTAAGTCATATAGGGAGAAATTCAAATACCTGACGTCCACCTGAAGTTTGTGTTGATGTTGTTCAGAATAACAATTAAAGCTTCACAAACAAACCATCCAGTTCAGAGGACAAAACTCCACCCAAATGTCGAAGTCATATAACGCTGCCCATTTTGGGACCACCGCTCCAGGTGTAAAACAATGCTGTTGTAGCAAGTTAAACTATCTACCTCTAGTTTCCTTTTTAAGATTGTTTTAATCTGAAGCCTGTTTTATTGCCCCTTGCTGTCATCTTTCTTTTATAAATGAAAATGAATTGCGTGCTGAGTCGTCAACTCATTATTATTTTATTCTCGTTTTTTCCAAGTCTCCTTAATCACAAGACTCTGAATGCTTCACTAGCACACTAACTAATTTCGGTCTAGATGCGAAAAATACATTTGTTCTTAAGATGTGTGAAGAATTGCACAAACGCTGAATTGCGTGACCATTAAACAACTCGATGTCTTTGATCGATTAAATAAGCTTAACATAGGTAAATCCATGGGGCCCGATGAATCGCATCCTAGGTTACTAAAGGAATTAGCTAAATTCGTTACAAACCCTTGAGGTATATGCTTTAATCTATCCTTAACCCGGGGTTGTTTACCAAAAGACAAGAAGAATACCATAGTAAGTCCTGTCTTCAAAATAGATACGAAACATAAACCTGAGAGTTACCGACCCATTAGCCTAACTAGTGTGGTTGTTAAAATCTTGGAAAAGATTATTCGGAAGGAGATGTTGAAGTTTCTTGATGAAAACCGGATCCTTTCGAGGAAGCATCATGGTTTTAGAATAGGTTATTCTTGTATTACTAACTTATTAGTCGCGCGTGAAAGCTGATGCTCTCTTAAGGACCAAACGTTACCTGTAGACGTAGCCTACATTGACTTCAGCAAAGTTTTGACAAAGTTCCGCACAACCAGGCTAAGAAATGTCGGGAATGAAGGCAATTTATTGATGTGGGTAAAAGAGTCCCTAGTTGGGTGCCAACGAAGAGTACGGGTGAATTCAAAGTTATCTAGCTGGGAAACTGTGCTTAATAGAGTGCCTCAGGGTACAGATTTTGGGCCAGTGATATTCCTCTCGATCTATCTTGTTTAATATCATCATCGGTCTTGCTATATGCTGACGATGTCAAGATATAGAGAGATATGAAGTAAGGGCGATAGCTTAGGACTTCAAAATGACCTGAAGAAATTGTCTGAATAGTCTCAAACCTGGCAGTTGCCGATAAATACTTCCAAGTGTGTTGTGATGGATATCGGTAATCAAGGTACAGATACATATACGATGAATAGTACTGAGCTACCTGGTATCCAGACACACAATGACTTAGAAGTCATCGTTAGTCAAGACTTAAAGACTACTGCACACTGTCGTGCAATAGTCGCCAAAGGTTTTAGAACTTTATGGTCAATATGTAGGGCTTTTAGTCATGTCGACACTAAAACGTTTTTGACTTTGTATACAGTGTTCGTACGTCCTAAACTTGAGTACCTCATACAAGCGACTTACCCCTGTTTGAAAAAGACAGTAAACCTTTGGAAAGGTTCGGAGGACAGCAACTAAGCTGATTCCTAGAATAGCGAATCTTCCGTTTGATGATGGACTAGCCAAACTAAACCTATTCCCTTTGTCATATAGAAGAATTTGAGGCGACTTGATTACATATTTCAAATTGCTTAGTGATAAATTTGGAACTGATATGCCCTCATTTTTCTTGTCTTCCAAGACAGAGAACTTACGAGGACGCTCCACAAAAGTTCAAAAGCACAGGACAAATTACTTGTCATTTGACTATCGACTTTCTCATCGAATCATCAGCGAGTGGAATTCACTAACTCAGCACGTGGTTGAGGCCCCACCCATCGACTATTTCAAAAGAAAGTTGGAACAACTGAGGGACCGTCATTGCCAGAACTAACATAGACCAATAAGCCTCCTATCCTTTTCAAATTGAAACTGAAACTGAGTACTGGAAGTAAAGTATACATTTACACATGTGGTATTCCTCTCTCATTTTTTAAAAAGAGAGATGTATTAGAAGGCAACGAGATGAAAAAATTATAACTCAAACCACTGAATATTTTACAAAGGAACAACATATTCAATCACCGTCATTTCGTACTCATTTCAAGGAATCTGAAATCTCAACTTTTAATCGCCCGCCTGACACACGTTGATTATGACAACTAAGTTGCTTGATTTATCTTTCTAGATTTAGAGCTGTCACTCAGCACTGATATGCTAGTATGAGGAAGATTACCTAACTAATCAAAATGTTGAATTCTAGTTCAATCATCGTTGTCACATGCTCAAATTAACCGCCACAGTTGGCCTTTTGGTGTTACGGGACCGTTGACTTCGTCGTGATATTGTATATTGAAGACCGGCACTTGTTCTTAGACAGGTCTAAATATGCTTGTGTTGGGAAATGTTGTCTCCTAGCTTAATGTCGACAGTCTTCTCTCAGATAGAGTCCCTAGTTTTTTTTCGAAACAAAAAGAATCACAAGACAAACCAGTCAGAGATTAATCAGGTATGTCCAGTAATCTTCGTGTTACAATATTACACAGTTGTTAATCATTGTTTTGGGTTGCTAAGTAAGAGGTGTTATAGCAAAGTTTAAGATTTCCTAAAGGTTCCTACACCCTACTTGGTAGAAATCATTAGTGGTAATAATGAGGACCCTTAGAAGAATATAAGTAATTACAAACTATAAAATCCCAAGAAGTGGGTTTATTATTAACTACAATAAGTGTTTGGTTATGTGCTAGTTTATCAAAGAATTTTGGGTTGGATGTTTACAGTTACTTTGTTTTTATAAAAACAAGCATGATGCTTGCGGATTTTTGTATATAACAGTGCTTATAGATAGTTGTTAAAATGTGTCCATCAAGCAGACCAACTGTTCATATTCAAAAATATATACCATGAATTCACAGGAATTCCCTGGAGCCAATCATCACTCGAGACTTTCGGAAGTTGTGTAATGTCAATTTGTTACAAACCGTATTATTTTATTTATTTATTTATTGAAACACACAAACATTGTTACAAGGAGGCACAAAATAGATATGCACCACATAAATCATTTTATTTGTGTGACGGCTGGGATACGGCTCAGGTGCCCAAACCGAAGCAGGTGGTTTTCTTAGGGGGCTGCACCAGGAGCCTTCCACCTAAAGGTTTGATCCACAAGGCAGTGGAGCAACGTCAGGAGATGCAGTCTCATGGTAGCCGGTGACCAACGATTGGTTCATACGCCATTTGTTACTTCAGGATGTTGGAGTCCATGTGCACCATTTGTTTGGAATGAGGGTTTTCCAACTCCCATAGGTGGACTCTGTATCCACCAACCCGGTTAAAGCGTCGTTCATTCGCTTTTCGTTTTCTCAGTTTCGCAAACAACAAACTGTAGTAAAACTAAACCATGCTACACAATTCAACTGAAATTTATCAATGAAATCCGGTTTAGTTTAACCAGCGTTTCGACGCAAAACAACTTTGCGAATCCATGAACCAACGTAGCTGCAGCTCTTTGAACCTTAGCTATAGTTTACATTTCAAAAATATTTTTGCGGTTACTTATTTTTTCCTATTTTAGATAATTAAACTTCATACATTGGAAACGGAACGCCACTTTGTACGCTGTTTATTCTCTTCAGTTAATTGTTTAAATGAAAATAAATCCCCAAAAGACATTTATCAGGTTCGTTACTTCTTTTGTAACACTAAATACTTCATAATAGGCTCAATATTTCAGTCAAGAACTCGGCAAGTTATTGTCAAAGCCGAATTTCGTGTCACTTGTTTGCTATTCTATAGAAAATCCTCTGCCAACACACAAGGTAGGTTGAAGCTTATATGTATATTTTTCTGTTTCATGTTTGAATTATCAGTTTGCAACATATTGAATTGTCGTCTCGTTTGATGCTCGTTAGTTGGATCTACCTGGATCCGTGTTGATGTTCACGATAAGACTCGGAGCCGGTATTTTTTACTTCAAGCACGAACCTACTATCTACCACGCTACTAAATTAAGATGACTACTAACTTGTTCAATGGGTATCGTGTTTATTCATAAGGACTTGTACTATTCCACTAAGTTTTAATCAGTCTGACAACTAACAAAAGTAAAGTTAAGCCACCCTCTCAAATATCCACATCGAGATTATACACTTACAAAGTTCGAATAATTTTTGGTAACTGTCCGTAATAACAGGAAGTAGTAACTAGAATTCAAAATATCCCAGTCTATGATCGTGGTTTAGCTCTTCATTAATATCGTCATTTATATTCCTGTTTGTCTTGACGTAAATTTTAAGAACCTCGTTCAATGTCAGGTCCTGTTCTGTTCAGAATTAACTGGAAATAGTTATCTTTATGGAGAGTACATTGTCAAATTTTGAGTTAAAAACAGAACACTGTGAAAAGTTTAGTAAGACACTCATTACTAGTTTTTAATCAGTTGTCCGACAATCATCCTGTTTTATTGTACACCTATCTATCATCATTGTATGCATCATTTTACCAGTTTAAGTGTGCCCACTATCAAAGTTCCCCCTTGAAAAGTGTCGATGCTAAAGGTGATGAATAGTAATTTCTAACTGGAGGGAGGTTAATCGACGTACATGATCTCATCAGACGACAATAACAAATAAATTTATTATTTCAGCTTAATTATTTTCGACCGATTTCTTTTTCTCATTTGTTTTGCTAAAATAGGATATGAAATCCACACTCTTGTAGTTGATACATTGCACCAGAGCCGTTCATAATCGATTGTACCTTGTAAATAAAACACCTTAAAAGCCTTTAAGATCCACTATCAAAGTTTGGCTAAATAACTTCATGTAAATTAAGCATTAGGTAGGCTTTTTTAAATGTGCGCTAATTTTATCTGGTTATTCGTTTGCCACGGAAGCAAATTACACTAAGTTGCTAAACGTCAGAAATTCACTCTTCCATTCATTAGGATTTTACAATGTATTATTATTTCTAATACCTTAGAAGTTCGTTCCATTTACGCTTATCTTACTTCTTCATACACAGAACAATAGATTATTGTCGACAAGACTATTTTCTCAAATTACTCAAATTTCAACACTTAATCGTCTCCAAGAGGTGATTCTTGGTCTTTCACTTACACATTCAAATGATCCACAGCTTAGTGCTCATGCAAAACAATGGGTTCATCAGAAACTACCAGAATTGGTAACTACACATCTTGCTGTGTATGATGGTAAGTCATTGCGCTAATCTTACGTTTCAGTGGCTGACAAATTCATCGTTCTAAACTGATCGATGTCAGCAAATTGCATGCAGCTTCTGTTGCAAACAAATATCAAACCGAGCTAGGCTCAAGGCTAGCTACCAGCCCACCGAAAATTATAAATGAGCATTGGTTTCAATTTCATGACTCCATGAAAATGGCGAGTGAAGTCGCTTGCGGTTTCTCGAAACATCCCGCTTATAAGCACTGGGTTTCTTCAGGCTCCTTACAACTCATTGAAGCTCGTGGGTCTACTCCGGGTGACCGTGAGTTTGACCACAAACCAGGACTGTTACGTAATGAAATTGGGAAAATCTTGCGTAAGTACCGAGAACCCTGGTGGTTGGAGCATGCCAATGAGTTGAAAACGGCAGCTGCATCTGGCGACTGCCGGAAGCTCTTTCAACTCATCCGATCCACTGGCAGAAAGAAGTATGGTGTGGGCGAAACAATCTGTAAAGATGACGGGATGCCAATCACTGACATCTACCGATGTCTTGAACGATGGGCAGAGTTTTTCGAGGAGCAGTTCAACTGGTCTTCTGCCCCGGCAACGTCGACTAGGCTGTCCTGCCCTCCATGGTCTGTGACGACGTATCCACCAAATGAGGCGGAATTCTGCAAGGAACTCCAACTCTTGAGGCCCTACAAATCACTGGGCCCAGATGACTTATCTTCGACCCTTTTTAAAGGTGGTGGCGACTTTCTTGTTAAGGAACTGACTGCATTGTTTACAAAGTTTTGGTAGTTAGAGAGTGTTTCAACATCATGGAATAAATCAATAGTTGTCCCTATCTTTAAAAAGGGTTTAGGTTGTTTCTGTAACAACTATCGATTGCGTCCAAACTATTGGTGTCAGTCATACTTCGTAGATTGTTCAAAACTTGAGAAGGATTAACTCACGAAGAGCAGGCTGGTTTTCGTTCTAGTCGAGGATGTACTAATCATATCTTCATTCTCCTCCAGATGCTAGAACACCGTCATATCTATCACAAGTCAACAATCGTAGTGTTTCTTGACATTTGGGCCACCTTCGATTCGTTGGACAGGACTGTTCTCTGGGATTGTCTATTGAAGAAGGGTGTGCCTGAGAAGTTTATTAACATCCTAAAAGCCCTGTATAAAAACACCTCAGGCAGAGTGAGGGCATACAACCACCTCTCTCCATTGTTCCATTCAAGCAGTGGCGTTAGGAAGGGTTGTCTATTCTCACCGCCCCTCTTCAACTTTGCCATCGATGGCGCTCTGGAAACATCTCTGATGGATGTAAATAATGGCGGTATGAATCTGTTGTCTAAAGAAAGACTTTTCGACCTAGAGTATGCGGATGTTGTCTTACTGTATGGTGTTACCCAAGCTATACAATACGTACTTAATCAGATGGCAGTTAGTATCCATAGGTATGGTATGTGCTTTGCACCTTCTAGCTTCATAAGTGTTGGTGCCTGCGTGAGTGATGAGATCAGTTCACGTATCGTGAAAGCCGGAGCGGCTTATGCCAATCTGGGCCATCTATGGCGCCTTCGTGATGTTAGCCTGGTTGTAAAAGGTCGGATCTACAACGCGTTGGTGAGAGCAGTTTGGAAAAGTAGTGAGGTGTTTAGTGTATGACATGGTGTCGTGATATGAAAGAAAGCTATACAGGACTGGCTTCTGTCGGTCCTTCACAACTCTGTGGTTGGGGTCTTAGGGATAGCGTATGGCTCAGAATAGAACCCCAGTGGAGATCCTACTGTTACTTTTCTTATAAAACTAAACGTAGGTTCTTTAACTAAAAGAATTTCTAGTTGCATTTTTGCTAACTGAACTAGTTTTCCCACTATTATTATTATTATTTCACTCTCATATGCTAGTTTCTGTTCTTTTATGATACACACTACATTCTTTATTTCTTCACATTCTGATTGTTATTGTGTGGCGCATATGTAATTGATGCCCTCTTGTACCAATGTTTATGTGTTCCAATAAATAAATAAAGTCGTTGATGTTTTCAGTTAGATAATTTTATTCATTTAACTTAAAATAAACTAGTATTGATTTTAAGTGAACATTCGGTTTCTCAGTATTTTAATAATGAAATGTTTGTCCTACATCCTTTAACCAGTTTATGGGTAGCTCGGATTAGATCTTTTTTAAAAATATTTAGGCTTTATGTTAAGTAAACAGTTTGATCCTGATAATTCCATAATCTTCAAATCGTAAGCGCGGATTCCGAAAATTATCATTGATAACTGTGCTTTTTAATACTATAACCCCTAAAACGAATTTATTATTATTGTTATTACTATTCTAGTCAAAAGCCATGACTGGTGCAACTTAACTGTTTCAAAAGTGTGACGGTTGTCCACCGTAGGCGATAGGAGATAGTCGCCCAATATCGTGAATTGATGGAAGTTAGACGTGTATACGATGAGATACGGGTTGAGTGTTCTATAGGGTTGTGTTCGGTCCCTCTGTAGTTGGGTCGTGGGTGCACACTTCTGGGAAGTCTCATACTAGGACTCAAAGGTTACTTAGCCAAGACCGGTCTGTGATGTAAACTATGAACATCCAACAATCTCCATAAATTCTCTATTCTAATTATAATTAGTTTGTGTAAAAATTGTTCCATGACAAGCTTTCTTATTATTGTTTGTTCAAATCATACCTTAACATTGTTTTCATCGTTGAATTAATTTTAGTACAAACAACAAGTGGGAGTTCGTTAAAATATCTTCAATCCAAGGCGGAGCCACAAACAACAAATACTTCCATATCGAAACCTGTTCAAGAACAACCTTTAAATACTGGAAGTTTACATGAGATCAGTACAGATTTATTACATTTCATCTTAAGTCATCTATACGAGGATGTTGAACACTATGGCCTTTCAGATGATATACTACTCAATTTTATCAGTTCTTTACGTAAAGGTATATTATTATTATTATTATTATTATTATTATTATTATTACCTGCATTCATTTTTTACTTGTGAATGATCGGACTTTTGCTTTGTGTTTGTAGTGCTTTTCTTCTGGTAACATTTTCATGGCTCACAATGGCACAGATGCATTCACTCTTTAGTTTCTCTATCCTGAGTTTGAGTATCTCTCCATACATACCTTCCCATTATCCTATTAAATCATATTTTCAAAGTTTAGTTTTCGTTTTTATCATTACTTACTTACTTACTTACTTACGCCTGTTACTCCCAATGGAGCATAGGCCGCTGACCAGCATTCTCCAACCCACTCTGTCCTGGGCCTTCTTTTCTAGTTCCATCCAATTCTTGTTCATTTTCTCATGTCTATATCCATTTCCCGGCGTAATGTGTTCTTTGGTCTTCCTCTTTTCCTTTGACCTTCAGGATTCCATGTGAGGGCTTGTCTTGTGACACAGTTGGGTGCTTTCCTCAATGTGTGTCCTATCCACTTCCAGCGCTTCTTCCTGATTTCTTCCTCCACTGCACTCTTGTTTGTTCTCTCCCACAGTACGTTGTTGCTAATAGTGTCCGGCCAACGGATCTGAAGTATTTTGCGTAGACAATTGTTAATAAACACCTGTATTTTCTGGATGATCGCTTTTGTAGTTCTCCAGGTTTCTGCCCCATACAGTAGAACTGTCTTGACATTTGTATTGAAAATCCTGACCTTGGTGTTGGTTGACAGTTGCTTTGAGTTCCAGATGTTCCTCAGTTGTAAATATGCTGCTCTTGCTGTGCCGATCCGCGCCTTCACATCTGCATCAGATCCACCCTGTTCATCAATGATGCTGCCCAAATATGTAAAGGTTTGTACATCTTCCAAATCTTCTTCGTCAATTGTGATTGGATTGGTGCATTCTGTGTTGTATCGGAGAATCCTGCTTTTCCCTTTGTGTATATTGAGACCTATTGCTGCTGAGGCTGCTGCCACATTGTTTGTCTTCTCCTGCATCTGTTGTTGCGTTTGGGATAGAAGGGCCAGATCGTCTGCGAAGTCTAGATCATCCAACTGCATCTTAGATGTCCATTGTATCCCGCGCTTTCCTTCAGACGTTGACGTCTTCATGATCCAGTCGATCACCAGGAGAAAGAGAAAGGGTGAGAGTAAGCAACCTTGCCTAACACCGGTCTTCACTTTGAACGACTTTGTCAACTGTCCTCCATGCACGATTTTGCAGTGTAATCCATCATATGAGTTCTGTATGATATTGACTATCCTGTGAGGCACGCCGTAGTGTCGAAGAAGTTTCCATAGTGTTGTTCTGTCCACGCTATCAAATGCCTTTTCGTAGTCAATGAAGTTGATGTAGAGTGATGAATTCCATTCAATTGATTGTTCCACAATTATCCGTAGAGTTGCGATTTGGTCTGTACACGATCTATCCTTACGGAATCCTGCCTGTTGGTCACGAAGTTGGGCGTCTACGCAGTCCTTCATCCTGTTTAACAATACCCTGTTGAAGACTATTCCCGGTATTGAGAGGAGAGTGATGCCACTAAAGTTATCACACTTGCTGAGATCGCCTTTCTTCGGTATTTTGATCAGGAGTCCTTCTTTCCAGTCTGTTGGTACTTGTTCCTCATCCCAAATCTTATTGAAGAGAATGTGGAGTATCCGTGCAGTTGCCGCTACGTCTGCTTTAAGTGCCTCTGCTGGGATGTTGTCCGGTCCTGCTGCTTTGACACTCTTGATTTGTCTGATGGCCATGCTGATTTCTTCAATTGTTGGTGGGCCAACATCGATTGGGAGGTCCGTGGGTGCTGCTTCGATGTTGGGTGGGTTCAGTGGAGCTGGTCGATTCAAGAGTTCGTTGAAGTGTTCTACCCACCTGTTTCGCCGTTCTTCAATGTTGGTGATTACCTTGCCTTCCTTGCTTTTCACTGGTCGTTCTGGTTTGTGGCGATTTCCAGAGTTTCTTTGTCGTGTCATACAATTGTCTGATGTTTCCTTCTCTTGCAGCCTTTTCCGCCGTCGTTGCTAAATCTTCCACATATTTACGTTTGACGGTTCTGATGCTCCTCTTCACTTGCTTGTTTATTTCCGTGTATTCAGCTTGTGCCTTGGCTTTTTCTGCTCTTGTTCGGCTGGTATTGATCACTGCCTTCTTGTTCCTCCTTTCTAGAATCTTATCCAGTGTACCAACAGTGATCCATTCCTTGTGGTGGTGCTTCTTGTGACCCAGGACCTCATGACATGTTGAAGTGATTGCCTCTTTGATCCCCTTCCAGTTGCTCTCCACAGTAGTCCCTTCTCCATTGAGTAGATCATGAAAGGACTGGAACTTGTTGCTGAGGGCTATTTTGAATTCGTTGAGCTTGTCAGTATCCCGAAGAAAGGCCGTATTGAACTTTTGTGATATTGTCCGCCCCGTTGTCCAGGGTTTATTGAGTTTTAACTTCATCTTGGTGACCAGTAAGTGATGATCTGAGGCTATATCAGCTCCTCTCTTGGTTCTCACGTCCTCTATATTCCTCCTGAACGTTTTGTTGATGCAAATATGGTCGATTTGGTTTTGTGTAGAGTGATCCGGTGAAGTCCATGTGGTTTTGTGAATGCGCTTATGTGGGAATATGGTGCCGCCTATGACCAGTTTATTGAAGGCACATAGGTTTGCAAATCTCTCACCATTTTCGTTCCTTTCTCCCAGTCCGTGTCGTCCCATGCTATCTTCATATCCAGTGTTGTCCGATCCAACTTCGGCGTTGAAATCACCCATCAGAATAGCCAGGTCCTTTGTTGGAAACTTCTCGATGATTGACTGCAGTCTATTGTAGAATTGATCTTTAGCGTCTTCATTGTAATCGTTGGTAGGCGCATAGCATTGGATGGTGTTTATTGAAATACCCTCTTTCTTTGTTTTGAAGGAGGCTTTGATGATCCTTGGTCCATGAGATTCCCATCCTATAAGCGCATTTTGCGCTTGTTTGGACAGCATCAATACAACTCCTTGTGTATGTGGAGCATTTTCTTCTTCATGGCCGGAGTATAACAGGAGCTCTCCTGTAGTTAGTCGTTGTTGTCCAACTTGTGTCCAATGTGTCTCACTGATCCCAAGTACCTCTAGGTTGTATCTTCTCATTTCTGCAGCAATTTGGAAGGCTCTTCCGGTGTCCCATATTGTACGAACATTCCATGTACCTAAATAAATGGTCGCTCTGGTTGTCAGAAGGGGCATCGGCCTCGTAACTTCCGAAGGAATTCGGCTTTCATCATAAGGCGTCATAATTCTTCTAAATGAAGACCTTCTGACTCCCAGGGCAGAGTTTAAAAGGTTTGAATAATTTTTTCTGGTTAGCGTTTTTTTAGCGAGTTAGTTTTCTACGGGATGGGGACGCTAACCCCATGCCCAACCCTCCTCCTTTATCCGGGCTTGGGACCGGCAGTAGCCCTCGGAGGGACTCCAGGCGGAGTTCGTTTTTATCATTACTACTATATTACTTCTATCTCGTTATTTTCATCTTGTTCTGTCAATAATCAAGTTTGTGAACTTAAACTAATACATATATTTGTGCCACGCTCTGTGTTGATGACATCTGTCTGTTCGTCTGGTAGCATTGTGAAAATTCAAACAATTCACTTTGTTGTTGAATGTACTTGAAGATGTGTGAGTTTAGGCAGATAGTGGCTTATCACATAAATGATTTAATAAGTTGAAGATTTTTATTAATGAATTTATATGGATATCTGATTTATTCATCATTTGATTGTGTCATACCTGTTCATGGAGGCTGTAATGACTTAGAGGATTATATATGTTCATTTTTGTTGCATCATTACTAACTTTGATTACATAATACATTTCGAAATACAAATAAAGTAAACTTAATAACTCAGTATATTGTTGGTCACTGTTTCTGATATGATTAAATGTGATTCTTAGAGTGGTAGGTTAGTGATTATGGTATTCGGTCTTCAGCCACTAAGTCCCAGGTTCGAACCCGCTTCACCTACTTCGGTTTGGGCGACCGGGTAGCATCATTATCCCTTGCACTTGAAGTATGGCTCATACCCCACGTGCCAGCTGAATTAGTTTACTTAATTCGATCTAATCTATTTCAAGGTACGATATTAAAAGACTGCTTACTGTACATAACCTGTACTTGTGGTTTTCATACATAAATCAAATGATTACATGTATCCCTTACGTTACTTAGAATAGCGAGATATATGTGTTGGTATAGTATTTCCGTCTAGTTATTTCATCGTTCATGTAGAGGGGTTTCTTCCAGCCGAACACCTGCAGAGTTTATGCATTACATTTAAACACATAGATACTGGTACAATGAGGCACCGAATATATATGTGCCACACTTCGTCACTCGATTTGTGTGAGAGCTGGGATACTGCCCGAGTGCCCAGACAGAGGCAGGTGATTTTCTTAGTGGGGCCACTCCTCGAGCCTTTGATCTAATCCACAAGATATTGAAGCAACGTTAGGAAATTCACTTCCATGGTAGCCGGTGACCAGCAATAGGTTCATACGCCCATTTTCCCCTCAGGATCTTGAAGCTCATGTGCACCATTGGTTTGGAATGAGGGTTTTTCAACTCCTAGATGGATTCTCCGAAAAATATCGACCCGGCCAAAGCGTCGGACATTCTCTCTTCGTCCTCTCAATTTCGTAAACAACAATCCCTCCACGAGAAGGCACTGAGTATAACTTCCTTGACAGTGGCTATATAAGGGCGACCATATGACAGCATTTCAAGGTGGGAGGATTCATTTCACCATCACAAGGTTTATGCACTTAGGAGACTGATCTCATAGAAATGATATATGTACAATTGAATGATCACTGTTTTGGGACTTACTGATTAAGTTACTCATTTGATTGCTCTTAGTCATTGTAAGCACAATATGTACAAGCTTCTGTGTCTCAATACTCTACACAACGTTGTTAAACTGCATAATTTGTTTCATCTTAATGTCCTTGTAGATGTAACTAATCATATAAACTAAGGTATGGGGATTTTTTCTGTCTTCCAAAATTGCGTTACATTTCAAGATGCAAGGTATATCATAATTATAAACACCGGTCGCCTACTGATTAAATGCTATTTGAGTAGACTGTGTAGTTTGTACAATACAAATATCAGTTCCTTTGATGTGTACTAGTTTCCACTCACACCAATATTGTCGAATTAACGTAGATTGCATAATCAATGTAACTTGTTTAAAGGGAGAACTCCGATCAAATATAGAGTCTAAGTGTATTTGAGGATTATTTCACATCTTTCTCATACTCTGACGCATTGCTGGTGTACTAGTTTCTACCAAAGCTTCATCAAAAATGAAATAATTGTAAGTAGTAATTACTTCATTTGTCAAACTGTATAGCATGTATGTAGTTATTCTGTATCAAACTATATTAATGAACATTGAATAACTTGGTTGTCAGTCGTAAACTGATTTCCAACTATTTCCTATTGCTCTATACGTAAACTCACTGCTTCAAAGATACCTATGATCTAAAATCTGCAATCTGTTCATTTCTGCTTTCGCAGACTATTTCACTACTGTAGAGTAATAAAGAGAGGAGAGTTGTTAAGTTTACTTGCTGTTTGGTTGACAAATGGACATCTCTCCTGGTTATATTCTATCACTATGTCAGTTCGTTTAAGAACTATACTTTTAACTATTAAGCTCCACCAGATTGTTAAGTATATGCATATTTTTTTCTTTACTATTGGTTAGAACAAAATGATCTGTTCCATTCATTTACACTTTTCTCTACAGAATATCCTCGTAGTCGTTTGTCATTAGTGCTCAATACCTTGTTATATCCAGATATTATCGGTTATCCATTTTTGAAAACCTGTCAGTTGGAATTAAATCTAAACAATCCAAGTAAAGTTATCGGTCAACTTGGTTCCCCTATTAAAACTAATTCTACAGTGAATAATGGATTAACAACAACTACATCATCATCAGTTTTCACAAAGTCTTCAATATGTGGTTGTGGACTGTCGTCATCGTCATCAAATAATCCTTACTTGATTGCAGATCTTTTAGAAGAATTAGGCTATGAGTGTACAAAAACGTAATTCATTTGTTTTGTTTTTCTGTCCAAAAAATTCTTTTATCTCTTTTGTTTTGTGATGGAATGATGAATAGGAGGATAAAAAAACAAACACATTTTATCTTTGATTGAGATCATGAACCGGTTGATGTTAGACCACCATTGAGAACGTGGAAGCGCTGGACGGCCGTTTCGTCCCGCTGAGGAGTCCCACAATAGGACGAAACGGTCGTCCAGTGCCTCCACGTTCTCAATGGTGGTCTAACATCAATCGGTTCATAATCTCAATAAAAAACTAAGTGATCTTCACAACCCTATACATATTTTGTCCTTCAAGTCATTGGTTGATCCCCCCCAAAAGAAATATCATGCTATTTGTCATTTACACAAATCAAAATGAACTTGTTATGGTATATTAATAATTTTGCAGATATTTGATAAATGCCCTGAGAGTTTCATTTATTTGTGGTAATATGATGTAATAAATTGAATTGATTTTACCCTTGTGCCAACTTGCCTCATTTATGGCGGACGCGAGATATCCGTCTATCAACCACAGGACGTGTTTACTGAGCAGTAGTTCATTCCGTCCTACTTTATGGCAGTGAAACATGACCAGTAAGAGTAGAGGATATCCGTAGGTTGCTATTATTCGATCATAGGTGTCTTCGAAACATTGCTCGTATATTCTGGGACCATCGAGTAAGTAACTCAGTTGTTAGGAAACGGGTACTAGATAAGGATGGCAAATCAATTGATGAAGTAGTGAAACTTCATCAGTTCAGATGACTGGGACACGTTTTATGTATGCCCAACAACTGACTGCCTCGACGTGCCATGTTCAATGGTATAGGAGTAGGTTGGATGAAAGCTAGGGGCGGCCAGACCAAAACATGGCACAAATCCATGAAGTCACTGACAAGTGGACTGAGTCATGTTGGTAGGTGTAGACTATCTGGTTGGGGACCACGAGATGATAGCAACCGATAGTTAGAGACCTTGAATGACATGGCTCAAAATCGTTTGCAATGGCGCAGGTGCAGGTCCTCACTTTGTGTTCTCCCAAATTCTAATCTTCTGAATTCTTCATATCCTTTACTTTTTTCTCTTTCGAAATATATTTCACTGGATTATACTCCTTGAATAACATGTTCAAACCGTAATGTTTCCGATTACTGATTATACTCTTACTATTTCTACCACTATGGGATTTGAATTGACAATTGTATCTCTGTGCTAATGTAATATGTCAACTCGAACTGATTTATGTACGTACATACGAAGTTCTACGTTGTTACTGACTGACTGAAACTTGTGTCAGATTCTATATTGCATCTAACAAAATGTGCTGATATTTTGCATCATTTCTCACTAAATAATATCATTATCACAATCAATTACACTCTTGACTGTAGATGATCAGTTATTAGAGTTAACATAGATTGAATTTGGAAAAAATTTAATTCTCATCTCATTGAAGACAAATAAGTGAATGATGCAAATGATTTGAAGTTATTGTATTTGATGATTACGTAATTAAATCAAATGAAATCGCTTCTAATTCAATTAATAACTTGATTTACCACCTTGTGATGATTTTAGTAGTTCTTTGAAATAATCATATTTCAACATATGTATGCATAAATCCGTATTTATTGATCTATCCTCAATTATTAATATAACCAATATCCTATTTATTTAATTCCATCTTAGTATTCGTCGAATTTCGGTGATTAAGTTACAACATGACCACTAGTCTAAGTGTTTCGACACATTCTATGCACTATATATATTCTGATATTAGGTGAATGAAGGTAGTGAACACGAAACAAGCCTGTTCAACCTAGATTTCATACTAGTTGATATACTTCAATATGTGTAATCCTAAGGTGATTAATCCTGTCCGTGAGATTCAGATTCAGATAACTCAAGTTACATAGTTTGTAGTTTTCAGGCCCTATGTTTGCTATCTAATATGAAACCTTGTTTCAAGATGGTCTTGCCGACTACTTTCAAACCACATCAAGTCAATCTGTACTTGGCCTTATGTTATGTTTTTTGTCCTGACTACCAAACCGTTTTTTAATAAGCTTTTCTTAAAAATATTGTAAATAAATTGCTGAAAATATATAGTTTGAATTTCTTGTTTTTACAGTCTAGAGTCAACACGTTCAGTATTGTGTAATTTTGATGTGGACGATTTGAATCCGTTAGCTATTGCCAAGTGTTTATGTTTATTTCTTCGAACTACTGATGGACAATTGAATAAAACAAACCGTAGTAACTCGAATGATAATACTACATTTTACAATAATACAATATTCCGTTATGATGATAATGATAAACAATGTGGTTCGGAAGATAAACAGTCAGGTGAGTGATTGATGTAAATTTTGCTCTTTTTTTATCATGTTTTCTATATCATCATCTGTGTATTGTGTACCATTATGTCCTATTGTCTATTATTCCTTGGACATAATACATCACTTGACTTTTCCCATATCAGAACAAGAATTAAAATGGAATATATTACTTTTTACTTACTTACGCTTGTTACTCCTAGTGGAGCATAGGTCGCCGACGGGCATTCTCCAACCCACTCTTTCCTGGACCTTCCTTTCCAGTTCTATCCAATTGTTGTTCATTTTTCTCATGTCTGTCCCCATTTCTCAATGTAATGTGTTCTTTGATCTTTCTGTTTTCCTTTGGCCTTGAGGGTTTCATGTGAGCGCTTGCCTCGTGACTCAGTTTGGGTGCTTTCTTCAATATGTATCGATCCCGTAGAAAACTAACTCGCTAAAAAACGCTAACCAGGAAAAAATAATTCAAAATGGAATATATATACGATCATGTGTTACACTTCACTTTGTTGTTTGCTTTGCTAGGGTGTGATTAAATCTGAAAGGGAAATGAACAAAAGAATCAGATAGTCAGAACTGATAGTTGGTAGTATACAATTTTTATTACTTACATAAAAATACAATAAAGAGATTGTGCAATAAGCGAAAGTTACACCATTATGATCATTTTACACTGGTAATATCAGGTTTATCATACTTTCTGTTCTGTTGAAGGTAAGATTTTTAAAAAATGCTGGATGACACTAGCTCTTAAAAGCGGAATAATAAGTGATTCGTTCCTTTCTAATTATATGTGATATTCACTGTCCATTAAGCGTCTAGCGATTCCACTGGATAGTACTCTACTCCTTCATATAAAAAATCCTTCAAGAATATGCTTATAAATTACTTTGTACTATAATTTTTTTCTTTTAGTTATTCCTGTGCATTTACTATCACAAGTACTTTTTTCACTGTTCTGGTTTGTTACTTCCCCCTCTCTCTTACTTATTTACACCTGTTACTCCCAATGGAGCATAGGCCGCCAACCAGCATTCTCTAACCCACTCTGTCATGGGCTTTCCTATCTAGTTCTATCCAATTTTTGTTCATTTTTCTTATGCCTGTCTCCATTTCTTGGCCTAATGTTTTATTTGGTCTTCCTCATTTCCTTTGGCCTTGAGGATTCCATGTGAGGGCTTGCCTTGTGACACAATTGGATGCTTTCTTCGATGTGTGTCCTATCCACTTCCAGCGCTTCTACCTGATTTTTTCCTCCACTGCACTCTTGTTTGTTCTCTCCCACAGTAAGTTGTTGCTGATAGTGTCTGGCCAACGGATCCGAAATATTTTGCGTAGACAATTGTTAATAAACACTTGTATCTTCTGGATCATGTTTCGCGTAGTTCTCCAAGTTTCCGCCCCATACTGTAGAACTGTCTTGACATTTGTATTGAAAATTCTGAACTTGGTGTTGGTTGACAGAAAGTTGTTTTGAGTTCTAGATGTTCTTCAATTGTAGATATCTTGCTCTTGTTTTGCCGTTCCGTGCATTCACGTCTGCATCAGATCCACCGTGTTCATCAATGATGTTGCTCAGATATGTAAAGGCTTTTACATCCTTCAAATCGTTTCCGTCAATTGTGATTGGATTGGTGCATGCTGTGTCAGTCAGTCAGTCAGTCAGTAACAACGTAGAACTTCGTACGTACCTACATAAATCAGTTCGAGTTGACATACCACATTAGCACAAAGATGTAATTGTCGATTCAAATCCCATAGTGGTAGAGATAGTGAGAGTATAAGCCGTAATCGGAAACATTAGGGTTTGAACATGTTATTCAAGTAGTATAATACGGTTAAATAAATTTGGAAAGAGAAAAAAGAAAAGGACATGAAGAATTCAGAAGATTAGAATTCGGGAGAACACAAAGAGTGGATGCACCTGCGCCATTGCAAACGATTTTCAGCCATGTCATTCAAGGTCTCTAACCATCGGTTGCTATCATCTCGCGGTCCCCAACCAGATAGTCTACACCTACCAACATGACTCAGTCCACTTGTCAGTGGCTTCATGGATTTGTGCCATGTTTTGGTCTGGCTGCCTCTAGCTTTCTTCCAATCCATTCCTATACCATTGAACATGGTACGTCGAGGCAGTCGGTGGTTGGGCATACGTAACACGTGTCCCAGTCATCTGAACTGATGAAGTTTCACTACTTCATCAATTGATTTGCCATCCTTATCTAGTACCCGTTTCCTAACAACAGCATTACTCAGTTGGTGATCACAGCATATACGAGCAATGTTTCGAAGACATCTATGATCGAATACTAATAACCTACGAATATCCTCTACTCTTACTGGTCATGTTTCACTACCATAAAGTAGGATGGAATGAACTGGTGCAAAATAAGCAGGTCCTGTGGTTGATAGACGGATATCTCGCGTCCACCATAAATGACTCAAGTTGGCAAAAGCTAGTCGAGCCTTCTGTATCCGTGCTTAGATTTCGTCACTCACCAGACCAGAAGGGCTGATGAGACTTCCAAGATAAGTGAAGCAGTCGAGTGTCGATGCAACCGAATCCTGAAGCAACATTTTGCATTTCGAGGGAGAGAATCGCATGCTGAACATGCTTGGATTGTTAGTTAGAGTGGTCAGAAGACTGCATTTTGTCAGCGTCTTCACCAAATAGAACTATTTCATCAGCATATTCTAGGTCAACAAGTGAATCTGTCGGTAGAAATTCAACCCCTGGACATTTAGATGAGGAAAGTGTTATCTCTAAAAGCACGTCAACGACAAAGTTAAACAAGAATGGAGAGAGTGGACAGCCCTGACGAACGCCACTTGAGGTAATCAATTCTGATGACAGTTCGCCATAAGCTTTCGCTCAACCAGTTGTGTTCGAGTAGAGAGCCTTTATAAGGTTAATGTACTTCTTTGGTGCTCCTTTCAGTGACAAACACTGCCACAGAACCTCACGATCAACAGAGTCAAACGCCGCCTTAAGGTCGAGGAATACTACGATTGTGGGGCGTCTGAATGTGTGTCTGTGTTTTAGAACCTGACGTAGTGTGAATATCTGGTCTATACAACCACGTCCAGGTCGAAAACCAGCCTGATTTTCTCTAGTCTGCTCTTCACGAGCTTTAGTTAGGCGTCGAAGTATTATTGAAGCTAATATTTTAGACACTATATTAGTCAAACTGATTCCTCTGTGATTGTCACAAGAGGACTTTTGTCCTTTCTTATAGACTGGCACAATCAGTGATTGAGACCAGTCAGATGGGATTACGTCCAGTTCCCAAATTCTACCTAAGACCTCGGTTAATCTCACTGTTAATACTGAACCACCATCCTTAAAAATCTCAGGAGTAAACCTGTCAGGGCCTGCTGCTCTCCCTCGTTTCAGATTTCCTATGGCTTTTTCAACTCCGTAAAGGGACGGAGGACCTACACTAACTTGCCATTCAGGTTGACTAGAGATCGTGGGAAATCGAAGCGTGGCTGAAGGCCAGTTGAACTGATCCCTAAAGTGTTCTGCCCATCGATCCAATCTCCTGGATTGAGAATGAATAATATGTCCATCTTTCTCTGAGATTGTTTCGCTAACGGTCGGGTTCCTAATTCCGGTTTCCTTAACGAGTCTGAACAATTGTCTGCTATTACCTATTGCCGCTGCCTTTTCCATCTCTCTTGCTTTCGCCACCCACCACTGTTCACGATCATTGCGTAGACTTCTTGTCAGCGTGTGCTTAAGCTGACTCCGATCTTCATTATGTTCAGAGCCAGGTGGAATGAGTTTCCGAGCATCTATCAGTGCGATAGATGCTGCTGAGATCCAGTGTTGCTCCCTAACCTTGTGGTTTACCTTACTAGCAGATATCACTGCTGTTTCCACAGCTTTTCGGATATCATTCCATGCTGCCTCAGGGTGGGCATCACATACATGGCTGCCTAACTGTTTTCCTAGTTGTTCCGGAAATATACTCCTAGCTTGACTATCATTAAGTAGGGCCCTAAGAGGTTTCCTTGTAGCGTCTTTCCTACGTCCAGTAAGACGCAGAAAAATATGAGCACGCACTAGAGCATGATCTAAGCATGTGCTCCAGAATGAGCGACAGTCTTCTATCGAGCCCCTCCATCGGTGGCTGATAGCGATGTGATCTATTTGGGTCCAATGTTGGGACGAATTAGGGGGTCACCATGTTAAAAGGTGCTTTTGCTTATACTTAAAGTTAGTATTTGCAAGGAACAGGCGGTTATCTGAGCATATCTGCAACAGACGGTCGCCATTATCTGTTCTTTGAGCCACGACACCATAAGATCCACCTAGGTGTCTTTCCCTATCGCTTAGTTTACCTACTTGAGCATTAAAGTCACCGGCCACTATTACTACATCCGAGCGCTTAGCTTTTCGGAGAAGGTCCGAAAGCTTTCTGTAAAACTCATCTTTTACATCATCTGAGCTGCAGTCAGTGGGAGAATAGGCAGAGACGACGAAGAGGCATCGACGAGTATCCCTATCTTTTCGGATCCTCATTGTTCCATTCAGTCGGACAGCGCACAAACGACTGTCTACTGGGATCCACTCTAAGAGAGCTAGTTCTGCCCTAGGACTCAATACTATACCTACGCCGGCGAGGCCACGGGAAGCAGCATCAGGGCTTCCAGATACACGAAGCGTAAATCGAGTCGGTTCTTTATTTTGGCATGGTGAGGTCAGATGAATGACGCTACTCGGATCCTGTATGCGCGTTTCGGAGACGCAGCACACATCGATGGCGCGAGATTCTAAAGTCCTATCTAAGGAAGCCTGTTGTCCTATTTGGCACAGTGTTCGGACGTTAAAAGCTCCTACGTGTAGTTTAGAGCGTGGTTTCAGGAGACCAGGAATAGCGTTGCGCGTACTCGAATCGTTTGCCCTAGCGGTGCGAGGTGAAAAAAGGACGTGAGAAGGGTTAATCAGGCAGATAAGAGTGGTATAAGTAGGTGTAGGAAGGATTTGAATGTTACCAACTTGGTCTCGTGTGCTGTTACGCGTATGAGGGCTGATGTCATTTCCCGGCTGCCCACACCGTGGAAGGGTATTTCTTGAGGAACCTGAGGAGGAAGTTGGATTAATGTTGGCCTTGTCGACCTGGGAGCGTGACCGCAGAGCCCAAGGGACAACTGCTTGAGGCCGGTCGCGCACGGCGTTTTCGTGGGAGGTTTTTAATGTGTTAGCTCCGTTCTTCAAAGGGCCTTACCGCCGGAGACGGACATCTGTGAGGTAAGGTGAAGTGTGACAGTTTTAGGGTTGACCTTTTCTAACCGCTTCCTTCCTTGTGAGAAGGCAGCGTCGCTGCAGATGCTGGTTGTCCGAGGGAAACACCTTACTGGTGTCACACCCATCTACAGTCAGCAGTAAGACTTCGCCCTCAGACCTTGAGTTGGTGCTTTTAGTCTTACCGTTCTCCAATCGACCTGCCTGGCATGGTAGAACCTACAGGAACATATGTTCCAGCCAATATAGCTCGGTTGGGTCATCACGATAGGCGAGCCCGATCACCGCGTCAAGGTAGCAGCTACGGTCAAGTGCATGCTGTGTTGTATCGGAGAATCTTGCTTTTTCCTTTGTGTATGTTGAGAACTACTGCTGCTGAGGCTGCCGCTGCACTCGCTACAGAAATAATAAATCAAGTATATTTGATAGAAAAAAATAACATGTACATTCATAAAGCTATTTATTCACTCACTGTGGTTCATTGTTACTATTATTGTGAAATCTCATTATTCTTAATTCTTTTACATTTTCACATTTAATAAATGTTTTTCTTATAATATCTAGATGAATTAAATACCCCATCAGTATTGTCGTCATCATGGAATATAGACAACTTTTTCACTGTTCTTTATGAATTAAATCCAAATATACAACTAACTATAGTAAGTAACAATAATTGATTTTCACTGTATGCGTATGTGTGTGTGTGTGTAAAACCTTGTTGAATTTATGTGAAGCACAATGTCTTGATATGTGCTCCAATGTACTGTGTATTTCGGTCTGATTAGCTTAGGGATTAATACATTATTAGCCCTCATATAGTTTGTTTCAAGCCCGGTTTCGATAAAAATGAATGATATTAAGAGTTATTAATTGTATATCCAAGTTATGAATTCTGTGTTATAGTTCAATAAAACTGTGCTTATAATGAAACTATATAATTGGGTAATATACTGTGAGGGTATAATGGAAACTAACTCATCCAATGATGGTTAAAGCATTTGGCTTTCAATTACTACTTCTTTTCTGGTTTATTCGTCCGTATCATCCACTTCGCTCGCCTATTTTGTTACTTTAGTAGGTGATTATGTACTATAAATCACTTGATATGACCGATCTTGACTCAGTCGAAACACATGATACTCAAAGACGATGAGTTGTTCGGTACTTGTGGAAATTTGTTTACCTTGTGTTGGTTACTACTCATAAACATGTGTAAGTAGTGTTTAAACTACTGTTATTCAGTAGAAGGATTTACAATTTTATCTTCAGCGTTTCTATGTACGCTACCTATATATCACGTCAGCATACAAATTCTTAAACAGATATATGTAAGTGGAATTCAATTACATTTATATGCCCCTAATGACTGGGAAATTCAGTTTTTGCAACTATATACTTTATACATGAAAAAAAAATCCACATTGTTAATTGGAATATGTGGTATTCCTCACTGTTAACATCCAATCTGCATCCTAGATAGAATTAGTATTCCAACTAAGGAGTCTGTTAATATCAAATTAATTACACCACATACACTATGTTATCAACCGATTTTCTGTGTACAAGAGTAGTACTAAATACATTTTAATACAGAGTCTTGCAAAGAACGTTTAGCTTTGTAATTTACGTCACAAATTGACTTTAGTTAAACCATCTTTGAAAATCAAGAAGCACGTGATAGCCTTCTTATCAAGTATGTGACTCCTCAGTAGTCTATATCCACAACCCCATCAAGTATGAAACTCAGAAGCTCTAGGCTTTACAGCAATCTTATCACCTTTAGAGGACTAAGCTAATATATAGTGATTTACTGCTTCAACTAAAATCAATTCACGATATTGTGTTATCATCATTCATATTCATTAGTGATATTCATCTTATGCCTGATATTGCTGAACTCCACTAATCATAGCTTTTCATTAGAACTCTGGTAAGAATCACCTCGCGAAATTAGTCACCAACAACCACATGAATATATATTCTGTTTTTCATCACAACAACATTGCCAAGTTGAATTGCCTGCTGGAGTTTAATTCTTTTTTATCACGAAACGATCTAATCTAAACAAATTTCAGAAACCTTGCAGCACCGGGTGGTTGTTTAGTACTAGGATGGGATTCCTTAACAATGCATATCCACGGTTCTGAGGTCGAGAATCGAACACGGGGTCTTCGGTTTCGGGCGTTGACTACTAATGTCTAAACCAATGAACCGGGGTCCAGTGGTGCACGAGTCTAGTGAGTAGTTCCATGCTATTACAAAACAGCCGTCGAGGGTTTCCAGTTTTCAATAGTTGTCTAACTTAGATTGGTTTGTGGTCTCAATAAAATTCAGCAATCTCCACAACCTCATACATCGGTTGGAAATCGATTGAAAGGAAGAGTATTTCTTCACTTTTTTTTAATTATTATTGTTATTACTACTATTGTCTCTACTCTTAACACATGTACCTATGATTGTTTTTCCAATTCCATTTTCAGATTTTAAACGAATTAGATTGTTCAGAATTTATGATAACAAGTCGTCAGTCTTTCCATTTATTTAAACAATTTATTTTCAATAATAATCAATTTCATATATCAGCTGATTATTTCTATCGTTCATGGATCAATTCACTTGGACAATTAAGTTTACTTCAGTATTGTTCTGTATATCCTGATGTAATTTGTCTTGCTTATTGGCCACATCGTTGTATTGATATAAGTATGTTGCAAATATCATTTAATGAAGATGAACAGACAAGTATGCAATTATGGTGAGTAGTAAATCACAATTCTACGTTTTATTCATTATTTATATCTTGTTGTATGCTATGGTTGGTTGTTTCTTTTTTAAGGAACGAGAACCTCCCATGTCTTTGACCTATGCATGTAATCTATCTGGCAGGGAGACGTCAAAAATTGTAATCCCAAAGTAGCACAGATGATCAGCATAGGATCTTAGCTCATTTAGCTCATGGGTGGTACCATTAGTGAAAAGCAAGAATTATGTAACCCATCTATGTGAAATTTCCGTATCCAGCCACTCGGTCGAAGCGCTTTTAAAGGCACTAAGTAAAATATTCCTGGAAAATCTATAAACAAACTGTTGTATGACAACATTTCAACAGGCAGGGTGAATATTTATAATCTTCAGTTTTATTCAGACATTTTGGGTCTTGTCTTACAACTGATACAAGCTTAACACCTGACTGTTTAAAAATACTCCGAAATAATGTATGGTGACTGAAACAGGTCTCAGTCACGTACAGTTAATTATACGCAACTTAGAATCTAGCATATATGTTTGTGTGCCCAACGATTGAATGTCAGTCAGTACCAACGTAGAACTTCGTACGTACGTATATCAGTTCGAGTTGCCACACCACATTAGCACAGAGATGCAGTGGTCGATTCAAATCCCGTAGTGCTAGATGTAGTAAGATTATAAGTTGTAATCAGAAAAATTAGGGTTTGAAGATGTTATTCATGGACTATAATCTAGTGAAATAAGTTTGGAAAGAGAAAAAAGAAAGGGACATGAAGTAATCAGAAGATTAGAATTTGGGAGAACACAAAGAGTGGATGCGCCTACGCCATTGCAAACGATTTTCAGCCATGTCATTCAGTGTCTCTAACCATTGGTTGCTTTCATCTCGCGGTCCTCAACGAGGTAGTCTACACCTACCAACATGACTCAGTCCACTTGCCAGTGACTTCATGGACTTGTGCCATGTTTTGGTCTGGCCGCCCCAACGATCCAATGTGTTATTCCGTATAGCAAGATACTAGAATAGCGTAAGCATTAATAGTTTTAGTGATATTCAAAAAGATTAAACTTAGGGAATGTGATTTCTGAGTAAAATATAAATTGGTATTATAAACAATTAAAAGTCAATTAATAAACGAATGAACCGAAGCAATGTCAAAAGAATGAATACATTTGCATCATTGTCATTAATTCTGTGAACTATATCACTTAAAGTCTCTACTGAAGACTCTTTACAATATCATCACACTAACTCCAGTCAGCTAGTCTGCATCTACCTACTTACACAACTCAATCCAAATAACAAATAATTTTAGGATCTAATCCCATATTTTGATTTAGCCATCTCAAGTACTATTTTATTCAGTAGTAGTTACCTTTCCATATTCACTCACATCCCTGTGTAATATAATATAAGAATGAATTATAAATAAAATAGATCAACAATGACTAATCCTATGAGATTATTCATTATTGTACTGCTGATTGGTTTCAGAAGGTGATTTTGTGGATATTATAATAATTTAATAGTTGAGTTCATGAGTTACTTGGACCTAGACTACCATGGAAACCTCCGGGAGTACTGGACGACCGTTTCATTCTAGTGCGGGACTCCTCAACAGTGTGCATCCACGATCCCGCCCCACGGGATTTGAACACGGAACCTACCGGCATCCAACTGTGTTAATGTTTAACTTCAACTAATCCACAAAATTGCTTCACCGTTCACCATTGTCTTCAATCGGTTATTATCTTAGAATACAATTCCGTACACATCTACACCAACGTGACAGTTTACATCACATGTAATTTATTCACTCATTTGGCAATAATTATACAAACAATCACCTGTTTTATTCATCTAAAAAATGGAACAACAGTCTTTGCGTGCGTACGGCATGTATGTGCGTATGTGACTAACTCTAGGCGTTGTTTACGTGTAATGACTACTTTATTGTTGCTATTACAGTCACGTGTTTGTGTGTGTATCAAATTATAATACAAAGTTGGTTTGTTTTATTGATTTCCTCACGTGATAACCATTACTATTTATAGATCAGACTGTCAAGGCCATTTTGTCAATGTTGCACACAATACACTAATATAAAATAGTCTATTTTTATTATGAGCAAATCTCTACATACAGGAAGTGTTAAAAATGTTGTCCAGAATGACAATGAAAGCTCTTCAATTGAACTATTTAACTCAGTGAGAGAGAGCAAAACACCACCAAATACTGCGTTTTTATTTAACATTAGAGTCTTTTATCTCCTCTACGAGGGTGTTACAGTAACAGGCATAAGTTTTCAATTTGAACAGGTTATCTTTGATTTTAAAAAAGAAATAAATAATCATCGAGTCGCGCGTGCATGATTGTGGATGTGCATTGTTGAATGGTCCTATACTTGGATGAAATGACCGTCCAGTACTTCCAGGTATCTCAATGATAGTTTAGCTTTAGATTGACTCATGAGACCAACTGTGTGAAAATAATCAAATTGTTAATGCACAGCAATATCATTAGAGATTTTTTTTTGTTTCAAATAAAGAGAATGTCTAAACTTCAAAGTATTAATGCTGGTCATTTTGACGACAGCAGTGATTAACTAGATTAATAATTCTAATTTATCAAAAGGGGGTTTTGTGAAGATTTTTAGTAATTTAATAATTGAATTCATGAGTCAATTAAAACTAGACTACCATGGAAAACTTGGAAGCACTGGACCGTCGTTACGTTCTAGTATAAGACACCTCAGCAGTGTGGATCTACGATCCCGATCGCTAGACTCCGACCCAGGACCTATCAGTCTCACTCACGATTGCTTAACGTCTAGATCACTGAGTCAGTATCCAATGGTAATAATTCTAATGTTTATCTGTTTATACTTGATATAAACTTTTGTGAAAGATTTAACGGTCACTTAGTTCCAATTGCTTTGATTAGTAGTAATAATAAATAAATCTATATTACATATTTTATTAGGAATATTTAATCTTTATAACTTCACTAAACAATGCATTCATTGATCATTTGTATTAGTAATGAAGTAAGCTTTACCTTAATAATATTCATTATTGTCATAAGACATTTGATCGATAAAATCAGGTCATTACATAATAGAAATCATCAGTTCATAATCAATCAACTTTGGTTTTGTTTCAAAACATAACTTTAATTAATTTATTTAAGCACATAAACATAAGTACAAGAAGACATCAAATAGATATTCGTCACACAAATCATTCGAATACTATCCGGGTGCCCAAACCGATGCAGGTGGTTTTCTTGTTGGGTCACACCAGGAACCTTTGACCTAAAGACCTGAACGCCAAGATGGTGGAGCAACGTCAGGAGATGCAGTCACATAGTAGCTGGTGACTAATAATTGGTTCGTATGCCATTAGTTCCTTCAGGATCCTAGAGCCCCCATGTCCGCAACTGATTTGGAATCAGGTTGTTTTTTAACTCCTCCCTTATGTGAACTCTTCATGTCCACCAACTTGGTTAAAGCGCCGGACATTCGCCTTTCGTCCTCTCAATTTCGTAAACAACATCCCCTGGTGTGAGAAGACAGTGAGTAGGAGTTCCTTGTCAGTAGTTGAATGCATTTGGAGAGGGAGAGTTGCCTCTCTGTACTCTCGGCTGTACCAGGGCATTTGATGAAGAAACAATGTCAATCGAATGTTAAGTCTATTTATAGACTGATGTCACTTGAAGAATCATTAAAATTCACAAAATCTTGACCTTGGTTTATAACCGTATGAAACTTGTTGGTAAAATATGCTGACAAAGATATTGATGGAGATAGTAAAGGTGTTTCTTAGTAAGGAAACGTGTTTTGGCTAAATACTCCTCTTTCCTAAAAACATTAAGCATGTTACGTTCATGTGGTTTCGAAACATTAATTATTTGTGTATCTCAGGTGGATGATTTTGGTGGGTTTTATTCTTTCAACCTTAATGTACAACATTACCAACTCTTAATTCATAAATCTGTTCAGAGAACACAAAACACTAAAGCATCCACATTAACTGTAAATATTTTTGTTAAGAAAAGATATATATTAACAAGTAAGGAAAAGCGCATGTAATATAGGTTCGTGTACTTGATTCTTATTGTATTGACCCCTTAAGCCAATTTCTGAGAATACAGTCGTTAATTTTATCAAACTTCTTGTCTATGGATTATATTAGATCATTGGCAAAATCCATAAGGTTTTTTTCAACGTTTTTTTTTCTAAAAGGATTATTCCAATTCAATTAAAACACTGAGTTTCATTCGAATAGATGGATAATGGAACCATAGGATTTTCCAATTGCAAAATGGTGATACTTTGAAGATTAGTATTCGTCTTTGAATGAATGATATCAGTTAAGAAACCCAGTGAAAATCAAATGATAATAATTAGCTATTTCATCCTTACTTATTTTTTCCTGGTTAGCGTTTTTTTTAGCGAGTTAGTTTTCTCCGGGATGGGGTCGCTAAACCCATGCCCAACCCTCCTCCTTTATCCGGGCTTGGGATCGGCAGTAACCCTCGGAGGGACTCCAGGCGGAGTTTCATCCTAGTGTATGACTTATCTGTAAATTTTAAAAAATGTAATATCAACAAAATTTCCCACCTATTTTCCCCATATGAAAAGTATTTGAACGTAACATGCATATCGTTGTTCGAAAATGGGAGAATTTACCCAAGCGCACAGGTTTCCTCTCTAGAAAACAATTTCACTTCATAAATTTATTTTTCACAATGTTTTTCCAACAATTAAGGGTTACAAGATCATACAATTCAGTTCACAAAGTGAGATACCACTAAAAATGCTCCATATAACATCATTGAATCCTCCTAGTTCATTCATATAACTCCAAGCTTTTTTACTAACCTCCTCTCTATCATTGATCTCAAGTGTTGTAGAGTTTTCAAACGATATCAATCTATTCCATATTCTACATTATTGGTCTCAACTGAATAGTTCTGAATGTTCTATTGAGAAACTGTTTATTTTTTTACAAAAATCACTTCACATATATTTTATTTATCAAGTCCGGACAATTGTGCATTTCAGTCGATTTACGAACGTTTTGTTGTTATTTATTAAATCTCTTCATAATATTGACTTGACTCTGTGAATAGATATTTATGATGTTTACTGGTGATAAAATCGGAAATTATACCTCTGTGTTATGACATAATGAGATTTGTCTCGTCGAACTACTCAGTAATTCAATGTTACTACTGTTTTTTTTTTTGTAGACCCATACATGTATGTTTTTGGTCAAAATGAAAACATTTTTTTTGTTGCTTTTTAATATTCTATACAGGAAGAACATTGATTATGTTCAAGCATTATTGAATTTATCCGATAAAGGTTTATACTCTGATGTATATAAATTGTTCAAACAAGTGTTTATTCTGTATCCAGATATTTTGACTGCTACATTACTTGAAACGGTATGCCACTTGTGATTTTATATATTTTATCAATTGCAGTTCATGTTTATTTCTTCTGTCTACTTAAACTTGAATTAAGTAGTTTAAATAAATTAACAAAAATAAGTCCCAGCCTCATCACAACAATGTCAATCTATTAAATAATATTGAAAAACGGATTACATCACCATGCTAATTAACTGTGCTTAGAACATATAATTAGAGATGTGTAGAAATTCATTGTTCTACTTTATGAATCTGAAAATCAATATGGAGTTACACAGAATTAATTTTCATTTATTTATAGAATGGGATGAATTGTATTTGCTATTGGATCTTCAGGACACACCTTTTATACTATTTGAGACTAATCAGATGTGTATAGTTTTGTCCGAGTGTTAATGTTCTTATTGAGACATGAATCTAGTATCCTTGACAGTTAAAATGTGTTAAATTAGATTATTGACTAGGAAAGTCGCTGTATTGTGTTAAATTGATAAATATTTTTAGATTTTTAACTATATGGATGTTTTATAACATTTTAAAAAGTTTTAGCACTGTTTATGCTTTCTGTCTTCACGTTCATATGGTTGTAGAATCTGTATGATAAATCGGGCAATATGGATGACACTCACCGCTTACAAACTTTCATGTTTGAATGTTACGCTTCATCTCGATAAGAGCTTAATAAGAAACAAGATAATAATAAAAATCTAAAGAAATGAAATATACTTCATTGTGTTTAGACTTCGTTGATGAATGTAAGACTGTTGATAGACCAACTATCGAATGTATTTGTATAAAGCATCTTTCATGAACAATTTCAACTAATTAAGTCTATTAAAACATTACAAAGTTGTCATCAGTATTGATGTATTCATTTTAAAGCATTAGTTACTTCTATCAACTCTCCTGAATCGTCAAGTTATACATCAAGAATGTTATTACGATGATTATCAATTTGTATCGTTCTTTATTATTCTTGTGATTAGTTTTCGTGGTATTTAGATTTGAACTAGATTTGAAGCTATCACGAATTCATTTACTCTGCGAACGAGAAATAAGACTCGGTGACCAAAGACCAGTAAGCTAACTAATGATGCGTCCCAGCCCCGTTAACTAGAGTGAGAAGTCCAAGTTCGGAATGCGGAAGTATATTCTGCAAACAGTCAGAAACGAACGATCACAACAAACATAATTCAAACCGTTATATATATAATCGATATTGACATGGAAGTTTTTTTAAACATTAATCGATAAGTTCTTCAATAAATGCCCAAGCATACATCTGCATACAAGTTCCACAAAGATAAAATGACAAACTATGGGTTTTTGAGAGATCTATCGTCCCCCAACAGAATAACCATTGTAACTTACAATTTTGACTGTGATTCATTTTTTATTTTGTTATTTTTCTTTTACCAATTAGAAGTTTGGTCCATTACGTAATGTAATGCTTGGTCATGCATTTGTTTATTTTTTAACAACTCGAATTAATTCACATATTCTTCTTCAAACTGCATGGAATGGTGGAAAGGTATGTTTATTATGTATCGTTATTTACTACTTATAAATATTCTTATTTATAAATACGTGAATATATATTTATATATCGTTGTGATGATATATGTTCCCTTTAAATGGATTCACATCATGGGCTCCATATGTCACACAAATCCGGTACATGTGTCTTCTATGAATAATCCTGGAAACGATTTAATTTTGTCGATCAACCACACAATTTGGCTAGTTACTGTTTTTCTTGACTGTATTCAAAACATAATACGGTTTGCAGTCAGAAGGAGTAAGGGGGCTAAATATTGGGACTAATGAATTAAAGCTTTTTATCCAACCATTTTCAAACGGTTTTCAACAAACGACTAGTATTTTAATCTTGGTACTAAACATATATCCTCCCAGAAGCCATGCTGTCCAATCAAGGTTTGACTATGATCTTCAGAATCCCTACATAGTCATCCGATTTGAGTGTAATGCAATCTCTAAAAATACGGGATGAATCAACATCATCCTAAGTGAGGACACTGACAAAAACTATCAAAGTTTGGAGGAACTACGTCCTCCTAACGTATGAAACCTACTTTGAAAGGCTATTTGTTATTCTTATCCTGAAAGTACGTCTTTTCATTAGGAGATAACCAGATTACCGCTGTTTATACAGGTTATTTTTTTACTTTGTTCCAGGATTTATTTGCCAGATGATTTCACTGTATGAGTCTATCATTTTAGTGTCTTACACAAATAGTAGCTGAGCTTTTTAATTTAAAGCCTGCTTTTGAGGTTTGTCGAACCATTTATTTCCAACTACAAATTTTACATTCCCTTTTAATGACTATCCATCGCTTTTTGTTGAAATTGTTGGATTATTTATTTATTTGCTTGAACACATAGATATTGGTTCAAGGAGGCACCAAATACATATGCGCCACACAAATCTCATTTGATTTTGTTTGAGGGCTGTGATACTGCTCGGGTGCCCAAACCGAAGCATGTCATTTTCTTAGGGGGCCACACCAGTAGACTTCGACCTAAAGGTTTGATCTAAAAGGCAGTGGAGCAATATAAGGAGATGCAATCCCATGGAAGCCGATGACCAACGATTTGTTCATACGCCATTTGTTCCCTCAGGATATTGAAGCCTATGTCCTCCACTGGTTTGGAATGACGGTTTTCCCACTCCCGTAGGTGGACTCTTTGTGTTCACCAATCGGGTTAAAGCGCCGGACATTCGCTTTTCGTCGTGTCAATTTGGTAAACAACACCGGTGTTGCGAGAAGTCAGTGAGTAGGACTTCCCTGGCAGAGGCTGTATACGCGTGGCCATGTGAAAGCATTTGGAGAGGAAGAGCGGACTGTCCCCTCTCTCGGCCGTACCAAGGCATTTGGGTGCGAAATTGTTCGATTCAATCCGCTGTATGGACATAATCAAAATGTCTAGTTTATTCTACCCTAGAGATCGAGAAATCTTGTAGTCCCAGTTACCTTTTATTTTATTAAGTATCTTTTTCTTTTCTCTCATTGTCCTCGCTCCCAACACCCCAAAAAACAGTCCATTGATTAACTGTTGTGATTTCGAAGAGGCATTCATCGCATTTAACAGTAAATCATTATATGTTTTCGATTACTCTTTTTCAATATTCTAAAATGTTTAGTTTAGTTTAGTTTAATTTGGCTTAGATTCTATAATAACACATTGTTATTCTACTTCAAAACAAACATTGATTATGCAATAAATCATCACCATTATTATCTATCTATCTATATGTAGATCTTACTTATAATAATTAGAGTATTAACTGTCATTCAAAATGAAAAGAAAAGTAAAACAAAACACACCGTTATTTCACTGGAATATTCAACATGTAATTCATTGATTTCTGTATAAATAATAATCACCATAGTAAAAAAAGTATAATTCAATTTCTTGAAACGTGACATGAATCTATTCCAGAATAGAATAGAATAGATTCTATTTATTAATATTATTATTATTATTATTATTATTATTATTATTCTACTAATGAAGAAAGTAGTTAATGCCAATTTATTCATTATAACTTAATCAATATTATTCAATTTTAAGGCAATTGATATCTATAATGATTTCATTACTAGTTTGAGCCATATTGGTGATAGTAGATGCTAACTACTTGGTTGGTGTGGTTTTCGTAATTATCGTAACCAATAGTTGGAGACTGTAGATGACATGACTCAGAGTCGATCACAATGGCGTCGGTGTATACACTCTATGTCTTCCTTTAAACTATGAGATTAAAATCGCTTCATATCTTTCTTTCTACGAACTAATTCTTTCTTCCTGTGCTATATCCTTATTGCAATCTTTCTTTTATGCATTACCACCACTGAATTAACTACTTCTATGAATCCAGTGTTCATCTTGTTGTGATAATTTGGTGTGGCAACTTGGACCGATGCATATATGTGATTGGTCCTACGTTGTAGCTGACTGACTGACAATTCTTTCATGTAGACTAATTTGTATTAACTGGTACGTTTTTTTTCTTGAGGTTCTCTGTCATTCTAACCAAATCGGTTGGAGAACAATTAGACTAAAAACAAGAAGTGAACGTCCAAGGATCAATTTTTACTATCAATAGATTAAAGTATAGTGACAATAAGGTGTTCCTCTTAAACAACCAGTACTTACTGCAATACTGTCTTCTTATAATAGATAAAACAATTTGTGAAATATCAATCATAAAACTAACAAATCTTACGTTAAACGACGAATTTTCATCACTTACCAAAAGGCCTTTAAAGTATAGAGCTAACATATTCAAAACTACTCACAAAAAGGTTGACGATTACCAGGCTCAAATAGTTTCCCCTTGGGTTCTGTATTTGAGCTTCCAGTTTTCAAGATCACTTCGATTTCAGTTTACTTTCTATGAATCTAAGGAAGTATTCTGATACAGTGTAGGCAGCTGAGAAGTGACAACTGCTCTCATACCTTTAACAATACTTTAACTGATTATCACATACACATCGGATCAAATTTGAACAAATATTGACTATTGAATTTGATCTTTGTATCACGATACTTTCAAGGCACACTATTCAGTCTTCAACCATCGACATTTTTGGTTCAGTTTTAGGGGCAACTGAACAATATCATCAGCATTCATATAAACTATATTCTTATCAGTAATTGATTAGTTTCGAGAGTTTATTATCGAAGTCCTAGTAAATAGCCTTGTTCATTAAAATCCACAACAATTAACCACGAGTTCCCTTTTTTTTAAAAAAATGGTTGGACAACATTGCGAATTGACTCATGGTAACAATGCAAACCATTGAATATCGCTTCAATAGATTAAAGGTTAAGCACTATCTAGAAAAACTTAAAAGTCTTGGTTTCGATCCTTAGTGGAGTTGTTAAACATTATTATTGGAGATTCTTATAACTAGAATGAAATAGCTTTTGTGCATATTATAGTCATTTTAATAGTTGAGATCATGAGTCAATTGAAGCTAGATTACCATTGAAAAATCTGGTAGCACTAGATGACCGTTTTGTCCTACTGTATGAGACTCCTCAGCAGTGCTCATTCACGATCTTGTTTCGCGAGCGACTGCTTAATCCTTTAGACTACTGAATCAGTTAGCATTCAATAATGTTAATGCTTAACTTCAACTCATCCACAGCATTGACTGACACATATCTATCATTGTTTTCATCAATGAGTGATTTCTTTTCTTTTCTGTACTTATAATCAATAATTAGAAGAAATCACACACACACACACACACATTAATTATCTTATCAACTGATTTATATGTAACATAACAAATTGCCTTTCTTATATTGTTTACTTTTTATCTTTATCTTCAATAAAGGAAACTAATTATAAACTGACTTATCAAGGTTGTGTATAATGTTGACTGATTTATTTGTCTGGAAAATTCTTTTCTCTTTTCTTTTCTTTCTTTCTTTCGCTGAAGTATCCTCTTTACATTTGTACAGTTTGTTTGTTTTTATTTTCATTTCTATTTATGATTTGCCTGAGATTGAATGAGAGAAAGACAAAAGGTAAAGAGAGAGAAAAATTGAATAAACAAAAATGTGTGTTTTTTTAAAATTGAAAATTGATTAAAATATACATATGTATGGCGCTTTAACCGAGTTGGTGAACAGAAAGAGTCCACTTAGGGGAGTGAAAAAAACCCTGATTCCAAACCAATTGCCGACATGGGCTCTAGGATCTTGAAGGAACTAATGGAGTACGAACCAATTGTTGGTCAGCGGCTTCCATGGGATTGCATCTCCTTACATTGCCCCACTGCCTTGTGGATTAGACCTTGAGGTCGAAGTCTCCTGGTGTGGGGCCCCCTAAGAAAACCACTTGCTTCGAGTTGAGCACCCGAGCAGTATCACAGCCCTCAAACAAAATCAAATGAGATTTGTGTGGCGCATATGTATTTGGTGCCTCCTTGAACCAATATCTATGTGTTCAAATAAATAAATAAATATCTTATGTGATAAATATCTTGAAGTGGATTGATTTGAGCAAATGGAATTGAGTGTACATATATGTGTGTATGTGTATCTATTCTTCTTTTGTTCACTTTAACATTAATGACTTCAATTGAATACTTAGACTAAATAAACATGAAATAATTCATTAGATTTGTAGGGTCAATGAAATGTCACTGAGTCATAGCCAAATCATTCGATAGTCAGATCATTGAATATTGTACAGATCATCAATCCTTGTCAAAGTCAGTGACATCGTATATCATAGACTGATTCATGCGTTGATAGTCACACATTCGTTTGTACTTATTTTTTACTAATATATTTCCGTAATAATATCCTTTGTGTTGTATGGTCTTCAAAGCAGCCATAGTACCTTGATACATCGAAGAGGTAATCCACATTAGATGTTGACCACGAGGTGTGACTTTGTAGTTAGCTTTTAGTTATAGCATTCCTATTTAACTCTAATAAGCTCTCTATCATTCGATATAGATCAACGTGAATGATCTTAAAAGTAAAGCATCATAATATCTAACAGTAAAAACTACGACGCGTGTTTCGTCCTACTACTTAAAATTTATCGGTTTGTACAAGTACATGCGATGTCTGCTATAGGATTGGGTTGAAAAATAGTTCGAGGCAACCCAATTCAAAGGATGCGTAATTAATCTTATTACTATTGTTATTTAAATTGCTTCTATTGCTCTGGCATTTGTCTTGATAATTTCATCTTACTGTGTTGATATGGTGTAACAATTTGAACTGATATACACTTGTGCTAAGTTCTACATTTCATATGACATGACGATATGGTCAGTGTAATCACTTATGTACTACTTATATAATGTTTTTTTATTCAGTCCTTAGATTCCATGTATTTCCCTTCTTTCATCATTATTTTTTTTAGTTAAACGTACTAAACGGTACAGATTTACAACAGCAACGTCATTTATTCATAGCTTCATGTATAGAGTATATAGCTCAATTGATGGCATCTGACGGATCATTGGAACCCAGTACATTATCATCGTCTACACAAATTTCTGACAATCGTCAACATATTTTAAATAATCATAATGATAATAGTAACAATCTATCAGCAAATTTTTCACAATTCATTGAATTATTAATCAGTATTAATGATTCCAATACTCATGGATGTGCTATCTTACCTATACTATTAGGTACCACTGAATGTTTATCAATTGCTGTATCCAATCTATTAAATCCAACTAACTTTATACTAAATCATGATAATAGTTTAAACAATTTAACAGAATCGATGAATGACAAATTCATTGGTACAATTAATCGTTTACCTATTCATTTGTTATTACCACCTAATCATGCAATTGATTTAACTTTAGTTTTAATTGTATCTATGGCAAATGTAATTCATTCAAATAAAACAACAACAGTTAATAGTTTACAAATAACCACTAATTCAGAGATCACTACTAATACATCTGCTTCATTAGCATCTATTCAAACTTCAATTAAATCATTTTTATCACAATGGTTTATTGAACATTTTCATGATAAAATAACAGCGGTAGGTGATTATATAACGGTGTTTTTTTTTCTTCATATTTTTCTCATAAAGAATACTAACAACTGGTAGAATTTATAAAACGTAGATGTTCTTTGTCTCATATTACGATTTAAAAATCTTTATATAGAATAGTCTGTGACAACCTTCATCAATCGTTGAAGACTTTGAGTTGATCACAATGGCACAAATCCATCTATTCTTCTCCTTTATCTAGATCTTCAACTCCAATATTACTTTATACATAACTTTTTAGTTTATCTCTTCAAAACATGTTCTCAATAGTTTTATCATTACTATTATATTATTCCATTGTCTTTTGTCATACATTTTGTTAACTTTATTTGTTTATACTAGTGTAATGTGGGGACTTGGACCAACACACATTGATTACTATTAACTGATATATGACTTATTGCATTTATCCAGTGTCTACTCCTGTCATCTATTGCTTTTCTCAATTAGATATTTTTTGCAGTAGCGATATTAGTAGATATCTTGTCTTGCTAACAATTTCTTCTGCTCTCCACTATGTTTGTTGTAGTTCACCAAGACGTTAATAATCTATCTTTTTTGTCATTCTCATATTATAGAATAAAGTGTTGATCTCACCGTTTTACAAATCTGCTCACATGATTGTTATTGAACACTTTTTGTAACCAGATAAATTTCTATTTAGATCACCGAAGTGTGTGGTAGCTTCATGAACATCATATAAATAAGCGGCTAATCACATGTTAAAGTGTATGATTCACTTTTGTCCTGGCTTTCTGTGGTATTCTAGTCATTCAGTTATGGGAGTCGCATATATTCCTACATCATTGATGAAAACTGAATGTAGAAGGAAATCACATGTGTTATTATGATCTAGAGGTGGAAGAAAACTATTATCTCATGATTTATTTTTGTATAGGTTTTTTTAAATCTTCCGACTGATGTTTAGGATTGCATTTGGTCAGTCTCATTTGACATATGTGTATCCTGTACGAATAGCTTCGATATTGCATTAAGTCACAAGCATTGTAAGCAGGGATAGATGGCGTCTAACAGTGGAATCCAAGATGCGGAGTGAACATCAACTCTGGGATACAGATACAACCAGATGACGAGTCCCGAATAGGACGAAATGCGCATCCGGGATTCCACTACTGGCCACTATCTATCTCTGTCTATTATCACATGAAATTGAGTCACTACTAACAACTGAAAGCAAGCCATTAGATGAAGTAAGAGCGATTTTGGCGAAATCATCGTTGAAAGCAGTACAGATAAAGTCCATTTCGAAGTTACTCAAATGTTAATAATATAAACATAGTTTATTGCTTTAGTGTTTTAAATGACTTTCGAAGATTAACTTGACCTAAAGAAGGAGAATCTCATCTCAAAGTCAGCATTTGAACTGTCTTATATTTGCATTCTTTTCTAATTACCTAATAATATTGTCCATTATGATAGAATGGAATGTTTTGCTATTGAAGCACACCTTTCACAGAATATAACATTTATTATTAAAAGCATTCATATATAAACTACAATATTCTTTAATCATTTTAACCAAAATATATTTTTGAAATACTTATCACTTATTGACAATTAGTTTTCTTTTACCTAATTATTGATATTTCAGGATCCTTTTGCACTGGGTGTTGTTGATTATTTACGTGCACATTATTCATCACATGTAGCCGCCACCAGTACAACTTTCATTTCACGTAATAAATTAGCTTTACCTATGGAACTTCGTAAACCTTCACTTAGTTTATTGACGCATATTATACAATCAGCACAAGCAGCTCTTAGGTAAGCTTTTTAACTTTTACTTTGATGTATTTTTTTTTCATGTAAAAATTCGTTTCTTTTGTACTATAGTTAGTTATAACAAGAACTGAACAATCGAACATCAATTTGTTGAATTAGGTTTGAGCTACATCTTATACTGTAAAGGCGGAACCAGTTGTTGCTATCGGATTATCGATTGTTGGATGCATCTCATCACCAGGCCATTGCTATTGGCCACCTCAAGTCCTACTGTATTCAACTAGTTCAAACAGTACTGGTGTTTGTGTGTGTATGTATGGATTATCCGGAACACCAGTTTTATACTTGTGTATGTGTATGTACAGCATAAAAATTACTTGTCTCTTGCATAATCCCAGTCAAGTTATTACATCATAGTAATGAAAAGTAGTACTAATGGGCGGTTTTTTTGGCAATTATTAATTAATACTGTAATTTTGTCTTCTGTTTTAAAGTTAATTAGTGCATGAAATTATGTAATCTTATGTAAATAGGTGGACAGTGAGTTTGATGTGTAGAACTCAGTCTATTCTCACTTTTGTTCAAGATCATCTAATTTTATTACAATTCTAAAATCCTCATCTGGAATTGATTTCAGTCAAAAAAAAGTATTGAAAATCAATAAGCAATTGATAATTGTTTCATTTTAAGTTGAAACTCTTTAACAGTACATATTTACAACGCCCAACATTTCGGTTCATATCTACAAGTCCTTAAAGTTCTGTGAGAAAAGAGTACGATGCCATTCTATCGGAACCTCATTGGTTACACTTCTAAAATTTTATTAGATTAAAGATGACAGACGTTCTGTTTATGATCAAATACAACACACATACATGAAATAAATCACGGTGATTAAGTGGGTCCTTGTTAAGGTTCACGCGATAACTGCGATCCGTGGTTGAAGACTTTGGTTAACTACTCAAAATCTAGTCATAATGCAGTAGATACATTTACTCTAGATCTTGGATTTTAGTATTCGTTCATACATTACATCTTACATTATGTTTTTGGGGCCTCAAATGCCCTGGTACGGCCGAGAGTGGGGAGAGTCCACTCTCCCTCTCGAAATGCTCTCACATGGCCACGCTTATATAGCCTCTGCCAGGGAAGTCCTACTCACTGCCTTCTTGTGGCGGGGGTGTTGTTTATGAAAATGAGAGGACGAAAAGCGAATGTCCGGCGCTTTAACCAAATCCCAAATCAATGGTGCACATGGGCCCCAGTATCCTGCGGGAACAAATGGCATATGAACCAATTTCTTGGTCACCGGCTTCCATGAAACTGCATCTCCTTACGATACTCCACTGCCTTGTGGATCATGCCTTCAGGTCGAAGGCTCGGAGATTTTCCGCCCCCCCCCTGGGAAAACCACCTGCTTCGGTTTGGGCACCCTGGCAGTATCACAGCCCTTATACATATCGAATAAGATTTGTGTGGCGCATATGTATTTGGTGCCTTCTTGTACCAATATCTATGTGTTGAAATAAATAAAATACATTATGTTTTACCGAAGTATATCCTTAAGGTGTAATCTTAGTCACTATCACTACTATTATTATTCGTTTTGTCATATGAAAATATGGTACGGCAACTTGAACACTAACATTTGACTTTCTATTGATGATAATATAACATAAGCATATCTTCTATATTACTTCTATTATTTCGTTCATTATATAATTAATTAATTCTTTTTAATGACGTCATATTGTAGAATATTCTCATTGATTAAAATTATTATATTTTTATTTTTGCAATTTCATTCTTTCATTTGTACTACTTTATACATTATTGTAATTAACCCAATTCTTATATTTGTATAATGAGTCAGTCAGTACCAACGTAGAACTTCGTACGTACGTACATCAGTTCGAGTTGCCACACCACATTAGCACAGAGATGCAGTGGTCGATTCAAATCCCGTAGTGCTAGATGTAATAAGATTATAAGCTGTAATCAGAAAAATTAAGGTTTGAAGATGTTATTCAAGGAGTATAATCCAGTGAAATAAATTTGGAATGAATAGTGATTTATATTTAAATGAATAATCTGATCTCATTTTGAAGCATTTTATTATGGAATAAATCATCGAAATCTAAACATAGAGAGTTTACATAAGATTTGTTAGTCAGTCCATCAATCAGCTCCAATGTAGAACTAGGCATATATATATATATATATATTTATATACATCGATTCAAGTTACCACACCACATTACCACAACAAGATGAATACCAAATTCATATAAGTTGTTTCTTCAATGGTAGTAATATATATATAAAAGAAAGATTGCATATAAGGATATAGTACAGGAAGAAAGAATTAGTTCGTAGAAAGAAAGATATGAGACGATTTTAATCTCATAGTTTAAAGGAAGACAGAGAGTGTATATACCGGCACCATTGTGATCGATTCTGAGCCATGTCACTAAGAGTCTCCAACCATTGAGGTGCCCGACTTCAACCAAGTAGTCTGCATCTGCCAACATGGTTTAGATCAGAAGTTAGTGACTTCAAGGTGTGATGCTACGTTTTGGTTTGCCCGCTGCCAACTTTCTTCCAACCATTCCCTACACAAGTTAACATTGTGCATCGTGGTAATCGGTGTTTAGGCATATGTAACACGTGGCCCAACCATCTCGGTCGACGAAGATTCACAACCTCATCAACTGATTTACCATCATTCCATAATACCTTAAGTTTAACCTCATTATTATTTAACCGGTGATCCCAGCAGATGCGAGCAATATTTCAAAGACTTGTAACTTACGAGTATCCTTTACCCTTGACGGCCACTTTTCGCTGCCGTAAAGTAAAACAGAACGAAATGCCCATGTGTATCATTGGTTTGGGATGACGGTTTCCCAACTCCCCTAGTTGGACTCACCGTGTTCACCAACCCTGTAAAAGCACCGGACATTTGCTTTTCGTCCTGTGAATTTCGTAAACAAAATCCCCGCCACGAGAAGGTAATGAGTAGGACTACCCTGATAGAGGTTATATACGCGTGGCCATGTGAGAGTATTTAGAGAGGGAGAACGGGCTTTCCTCACCTTCGGTTGTACAGGGGTATTCAGGGGCTAAAAAGCCTAACCATATGAAGTCCTTTATATTGCTACAATTTTATTTGAACCTTTTCTTTCAAACAAATTATCAGTTTATTTTGTATTTTGGTACAACTATTGATAAAGATAATTAACTTTCATTTATCATTGTGTTGTTATGATCCCTTCAGTTATATATTTATCCATAGATCATTGTCTTAGTTTCATATGATTTCAAAGTCTTAGAGTATTATCAACGTGTTTACTTATTGTAAACTATTAAATGTTTAAGTTTCTCACTTACTTATCATTATAAAATTGTACTATTTTATTACACATTAACACCATTGAATGCCGGCTCAGTGGTTCAGTAGGTTAAGCGTTTGCGCGCAAGATTGAAGGCCCTGGGTTCAGATCCCGCGAGCGGGATCGCGGATGCACACTCTTTAGTAGTCCCACAATAGGACGAAACGGCCGTCCAGTGCTTCCAAGTTTTAAATGGTGGCCTAACATCAATCGGTTCATGGTTTCAATCATAAACTTAACAATCTCCACAATCACTATACTGATAAAATAATGTTTTATTAAAAAAAATTGATTGATGATTTTAATCGATTCATGATTGTAACAAATATGAAAATATGAGATTATTCAACAATAAAGTCGATTATTATTATTATTATAAAGAATATTGAATAATTAGTACTTTTACCATGGTGAAGTTACCATTCATCTATTCATCTATCCATCTATCCATTCATTCATTCATCAATGTGATCCATAGAAATGTTCAAGTCATTTTATTGATTAATTGTTATGTAGAACAAATTAGTCCTCAATATTGATTGTGGGTAGAGAAAGAGATCATCATCATCATCATCATCATCATCATATTAATAATTACAATAGCTCGATCGATAAATTCTCTCTGCCCTCTCACATAAAACTTTTCATTCATCCACTCTTCTGTGATTTAATTGGTTTAATTTTGTAATGTAATAATAATATTACAACTAACCAATCAACTAATAGGCTTTCTTTTCTTTGTTGCCGACTCTCTGTTTATATATATATATATGCCATATATGTCTGTTGTAGTTTATCCTAGATGACCTTGGTGTGTCTACCACGTGATCAGTCTATTCAGTTAGCTATATGCGTATATATATATATATATAAACGTATGATGTTGAGATAGTCACCCCTTTGTCGCAAATTTCTATTGGTTGATTAGTTTTATTTATATTCGTTTGGGTTGACCCTGGTCAGACGTCATAGCGTATCTTATTCATTTCGTTCGTTATGTAGTCGTAGAACGGATGTAGATTTTTCTTTGTGGATTATTATTATTATTACCTATATTTCAACAACAACAAAACAGTTATTTCTGATTTCGGATATATAATAGTATTCAAATACTAGTGGATTTATTTTTGTTTTACTTACGGAATATAATTTTCTAGTCTATGTGAAGTCGACCAAAATTACAAGGTGAATAATTTATAGACTTATGTTATTGTTCATTTCAACTCACATTTTAATGAAACGGTTTTAAAGACTCATTTAAAAATCCATGTTAAATTCATTTTTTTTCTCCCTAAAATTTCTAATTCACAAAAGAGTAAAGATAGTGATAGAACAAGAACCTCACAGTGTGTGCTACTAACGTTCATTTCTAGGTTAATCAGATGGTAAAGCGGTTGTAAATTAGAATAAACCCATACTTGGATTTATATAGTTTCTCAGCACAGTTTTTATGATATGAAAATTGACATGTCAACACAACTATACTAAACGACAGAGTTCTTTCTTTTTCTTCCATGTTAATCTTCCACTGCATCAGTCACAGATCCTAATCCATATTTGCCTCAGTTGGAAATTCTCCACTGTTTTGTCACAGAGTAAATGCTTAAAACAAGTAAAGAGTAAGGGTAGTAGTTCCATTACTATAATTTT